CAGGTTTGGAAGACAAAGGATGCCCGCTGGTACCTGTTTAGTGTTTTGTTTTGTTCTGTTTCCATTTTGATTCACTACAACAGTTAGTAAGTATTTGTAAGGGACATTTTATATTTAAAAAAATGTTTAAGTATCCTAAATATATACGATATAAAAATGCAAACAGTATACCTTCAATTCCACTCTCCAGAGGCAACCATTTTTATGAATTTTTTGTGTATCCTTTCAGACATTTCCTATGCATATACAAAGATATGTACATATACATACAAATATTCACTAATATCTAGACCCATATGTATATCTTATTTCTTTTTAGTATAGGAATAGCATGACCCTATTTTTAAATTGCACAATATTTAATTTCCCCTATAATGCACATGCAGGCTGTATCTCATTTTCCACCATTATGATAACATGTAGTGTGTTTTTCTTTTTGATCATATCTGGGATCCTTTAGTTATAATAAAGAAATTTATTCCATTTTCATTTATTGTCATAATAGATAAATCGTATCATATTTTGTTACTGTCTTTTTTACTGCTTCCTCTGTTTTCTATTTTTTAACTCTATGGTTGCAGTTTTGCTTTGTGTATTTCTCTTCTGCTGATAATTTGTTGTTTTACTGGGTTTTTTGTAATTGTATTTCATATACTATGACCCGTTTCCTGATTTATCAACTTTAAGCAGTAACTACAGATGCCTGCTTTAAAAGGTGAGGAATGCTTTCTCCTAAATCACCTCCTTGTTAGCTTCTGATTTTCGTAGTGATATTTTTATATTGTCAGAGTTTATAATATTTACATTTTTCTGTAATTGTTCTTCCTACAAATGTTTAGCCTTCATTTTATATTTAAATGAATGTTTTGCTCACCTCCACACGTGTCATTCCCCAGCTTTGCTGAGCTGAATTCTTCATTTGGATTCAATTCTTGGTTGGCTGCTATTCATTATCAAGTAGTTTTGCAAGATGGGTCAACAAGCGTTATATACTCCTGAGTTTGTAAATGTTTGAAAACGTGTTTCTTTTGTCTTTATTTATGTTTGAGGCCAGCCTGAATTTGCCTGGATTTTTAGATGACTTGATTTTTCTCTTGACACAATACTTAATGCTTACTACATGCAATAACCCCTAATATTTTCTCTCTTATTATATTTAATTTTCTTAACGCTTATTATCACCCATTAAGTTAATTCCATGTTCTATGGTGTTTAATTTTTTTTTTTTTTTTTTAGAAATCTGTACTAAAATATAATGTTAGATGACAGGGCATAGTGATCTAAGGTCACCAGCCACTTGAATTCCATGTGTTCTCTCAAAATATCTTCTTGCCTGGTCTGCTGGGTGCACTGCCCTGAGGGCGTGTTTTCTATGGCCTTCCATTTTGGGAGAGCACATCACCCAACAAGAGATCAGCCTGCTTAGTGAAGCCTCTTAAATGACTTAAGGTTTTATGTTGCTGGGTTCGTGTTTATCTCTGCTCTGCTCATCCTGCCCTATCAGCCACAAAGCAGGTTCATGCTTCTTTTCTCTTCTCCCCATTTACCTCCATGAAGTTTCTTCAGGGTAGAAGGAAATTCCTCTTTTCGTGGAAATCTGTCTCTTCTAACCCTGCGTCTCCTCCCTTCTAAGGTTGGAACCTCACAAAGATTTACCCTACAATCCCAGTGTCCTACCCCTGTCTTCAAACTCTCTTTTTTTCTAAGTAAAAGTTTGTTGTCTATAGTCCTCTGAAGTCTTTCTCTTACTTTCAGTAAAATGCCTACCCTGCTAGAGACAAAGGTATATATCAACTCTTGATATACTATCACTTTTGGATTGAGTTTGAATCTCGTTGCATGTTTTAAGATTATGGCTGCATTCTAATTATATTGTAGATGGAATTTTCTTCCCAATTTCTCAATTGTTCATTCATTTAGAGTTCAGGGAACAAAGTAGAATAACCATACTCTTACTCTGTCATTTATCACAATCTTCTGTTAGGATCCTTGATCTGACAGAGATATGATATAAATGCTCTTTTGAGGAAGATTGTTCTAATCACCTTTTAAGGTACAGATTAAAGTGGGATATGGTGACATGTCCAAAAAATCTTAGAATAATCTAGCCAGCACAGTCTAATAGAACCTGCTGCAGTGACAGCATTAGTCTATATTTGCACTGTCCAATACAGTAGTCCCTAGCTCATGTAGCTGTTGCGTACTTGAAATGTGGTTTGTGAAACTGAGAAGCTGAATTTAAAATTTCTTTAAATTGTAATTAATTCCAATTTAAATTTATATAGCATCATATGGTTAATGGCCACCATATTGGACAGCGCAGATCTAGGCAATATAAAGCCTGAACACTAAACTGTGCCTAAAGAAATGGAAATAAAAGAGGCTATCCAAGAGGTATAATGGAGAAAAGAAATAACAATGTTTTTGTAGGGGAAGAGAGAAGGAGATTTAAACAATTCAAAGGCAAGTGTGCTGGAGAGAATGAGGAAGCCGGCGGCACCATCCAAACAAAAGGTGATATTACCCAGGGCTATCTTGAAAAATAGATATTTTAACAAGTTGAGTTCCCAGTGGTAAGGAGACATCCACGTGGAAATGACTATATAAACAATTAGAATTCTCACAGTGAATTGGAACAGAGGGAGGTCAGAACGACCAAAAATATATATATTTCCTTGACATTTCTCTCTTGAGAGTGTCTTCTCTGCCTCCATACACCCCTTTACAGAGATTGACTTGTCCTCCCCCACGCGGAGAGATCCTGATATATGGCATAGTAATGACGGTTCACAGAAATTACTATTTCACCTACTGAGTGATTAATATGAAGTTAGTTACTGAAACAGTGGCGCAGAGAGGAGAAATTTGGTTTTGTTTTCGAAAGGAAAAACACAAGGTAAAATATTGCTTTGCATATATGGAGTAACTTTTCATCTGAGAATCTTTACGTACTCAGCAAGCCTAATTAATGAGAAGACCTCTGAAAAAGAGAAATGATGAAATAAGGAACACAGATTCTAGTGTTCTATTTCTGTGATTTTTAAAAGTCAAGCTTGGTTTTTTCCTCTTTCATTAATGCACAAGTGTAGCCCCGTGTGGCAACCATGAGATGTTCATCTTTCTGCTGAGTGATTTCTCTAGAAGGCATCCCACTTAGGAGGAATAGTAACCACACAAAATCCTACCCCCTAACTTTATTGATGTCCTGTGCTCTATTTGCAATGGAAATCCATCCATATCATCACAGTGCAGCAAGCATCCTCCAGTAAGCCAGTCTGCACCGTCCCTGGAAAGATTGTTTTGTCGCAAAATGGAGCAGGTTATCTTCTTCATCAAAAATTATTCAAAACAAACATCCATGAATCTGGAACTAACATGCATTGAAAGAGGACAGGCAGGGCCTCTTAACGGGTACCCAGCTGTGTAATCTTCCTTTCATCTTCATTCCAAATCCCTTGGAGAGTCAAGCTCCCCTTTGCACAAAATATAAATTCTTCTCATTACTTATGTGTAGGGCACGTGATTTGACCTAGTCCAAAGAGATACGCAGTAATGTATCCTGGCATTTATTTTCATCTGTTGTGACTTGAAGATACTGGTTTTTTTTGGTCCTAAACCTCCTTCTTCATCTTTTTACGTTTCCTCCCTCCTCTCTACTCAAAGGGGAAAAAAAGCCATTCTGCCAAAAGGGAAAAGACCTTGAAAAATCATGGCTTTTAAAGAATTTTACAAAGAGTTTGATGTTCTGTAAAATAAAACTAGCTGCCATGTGCAAAAATAGCTGTTTTTATTTGAAGAGGAAAAGATACTGAGAGAATTCAGTTTCTGTTTTTTCACTCATCCAGGCCTTCAATATACATGTCCAGGCGTATACAGATCTTTCACTTCTAGCCCACGGTCCTCTCATATTCTCTGCGCCTATTTCTTCAGACTTATCCCCATCCTTTCTTGAGTCTTTCTTTCACCACCTGAGCCAGCATCGTCTTATTTTTCTCCTCCTGTACACAATGTACCCTGTTTGCCCGGTGATGTGAGGGTACATTCTCTCCTCGTCAGTGGAGAGCACCTCCTGACACCATCGAATCACCATCGTCCAATAAGATGCCACAGTGACCTTTCCATTTTAACATGTAACTGGGAACTTAGGAGATCTGGCCTAACACTTTCCAGACTAAATGAAAAATTCTCAAAATTCAGTTGGATTTGGAATCCACCAAAGTATTTTTTTCTGCTCCCATTCCCAGTCTACACAGTAAGTACGCTGATTAGCCGTAGCATTTTGTAATATCACTAAAGGCTTTAGAGCTGTGGAGTTCTGCCAGTAATGGTGTTTAATTCACTTACATGCGCCAATTCGTCTCTGTCAGGAGCCTATTAATTTCTTCACTATTTTACTCTGTCCCTAGCCTCTGTATAATGAAACACAATGATCCCCATTTGTGTAACCAAAAAGCTTAGAGTCTCTCATAAATTATCTCTGATCCCACTGCTTTTAGTGACCAGAAAGCCTCTGTATTTCTTTTTCATATTTAAATCAATTTTTGCAAGCTCTTTTCTTTAGAAGAATACACTAGAGCTCAAAGTCACCAAATGATAAAATCACAGACAAAGTATGAGATTCTGATGGGCTCTTTAACATGCATCCCTGTCCCAAGTCAGACTTCTTTAATATTACACCAAAGATGGCCTGTTCCCATGTATAGGGAGGAAATGTTACTGAAAATCAGCCTCTGACTCTGCAATCAGCCCAGTCATCAGTGGGCAGGATATTAAGATACCTATAGCATTGCTATAAAAGTAAAGACCCTGTAATAAATAAAGGTCAGAGATATAAAATTAATCCTGTGGAATCTGCTGTTGGCATGTCTGCATGGTGCGATCTTGAGTATCCAGGAAAGTGACAGTTAAGTGACTGGCTAGGAGGAATTAACATAGATTCAGGAGAGTCTCTCATTGTATCAGCATATAAACTCACATACATCTTGTTCTGCATTTTTCAGGATTGGGGCAAAACATCAGGAGCTAAGGGAAAAGCAAGCAAGAGGTCTTATTGATTATGCCGCTGGTGCAATTGGACCACTGCATGATATGGACGATGATGAAATGGACCCCAACTATGCCAGAGTAAACCACTTCCGGGAACCATGTGCATCAGCAAATGTCTATAGGTCTCCATCTCCCCCTCGGGCTGGACCACTGGGGTACCCTCGGGATGGCCGTCCACTGTCTCCAGAGAGAGACCACTTAGAGGGTCTCTATGCCAAGGTCAACAAGCCATACCATCCACCAGTGCCAGTTGACAGGTAATATAACTTATTGAAAGATGAATGTAGTTTTAATTCAGTAAGTTTCAAATCATCTCTACTGGTGAAGCAGGTAAAAATATATCCTTCCATCTATTAAAACTGAAATGACATAGTACCCTTGACAAGTGCTATGCTTTGACCTACCCGTAAGGTATCAGCCATCAAAAATAAGACAATTGACAGTTCTAAGGTGGCATGAATGAATAGTAGTAGTTGAGTTCATGAGGCAACAGGGAGCAATTTTTGAAGGAGTATTGTAGCAGAGAACTAGCGATAAAACTTTGAAGGAATATTGTCCTTTCTCCTAGGAGCCCTACCATATAAGACTTATTCAAGAAGATGGCATGACACTTGGAGGTGAAGGGTCAGAGAAGAGAGTGGTGACCTCTAAGTGGGTGTAATTATAGATAGCCTCAGAATTCCAGAAGACTTTGCAAAGATTGGGATTTTCTACTGGAGGCATATGTGATCCTGCATAGATATTCATGGGTGATCAGAGGTAGAAAGGAGATAATCTTGGCAATAGGAGTTTGATGAAGTAAAGAAAGATAGGAGGTGACAAGGCCAAGGATCTTTAGGTTTTGCAGCTGAGGAAAGAGATAATAGGACCATCTGTCAGTACAATTGAAGTAGGTAGGGAACAAGATGATTCCAACCCCACCTCCTGCCAAAAGCAAAATGCCCTATCCCTTGAAAGGCTGGTATAAGAGAGTGTTAGTCAATACATGTTGTTAGGTGACCCTTGGAATTACACACAGAAGGAATGAATTGACTGACCTTGGTTTAATCTGCTGTAACTTGAAGTCTGGAGGGAGGAGGTGAGGGGGGAAGGGTGGCAGGCACAAAGAGCTCTCATTCCAGATGGAAAAAAGACTTGTTTTCCAGATTCCCTTTGGTCCTGACAACCACCCAGTCCCTATTAGTAACCAGCTTTTGTGTGATGGCGTGATATATCGTATATGTTTACCGTTTACATTTCCCCAGCTGGGTGATATTATGCACTTTCAATTAGGTTGGAGAGAGGAAGGAAAATCATGGCGTTTTTATGCAGACTGTGAAGTGCAGCTTCACAAGACTGATCACCTTTCAGAGCCTTTCCAATAACCAAGTGGGAAGGAAGGAGCAATTTTTAATCCTTACTGTCAAGCCTCCAGGTTGATAGTATTAAAGAAAGATGGTCAAGATTTTCTTTGGGATAAAATGAAAATATAAATTCCTGTGACTTTGTGAGACAGCCATAACAAAACTGTTAATTCAGAGGACTGATTAAAAGCTGGCCTTTTTCCTCCCAAGCCTTTATAAAGGGTTGAATTTTTATCACGTAAATAATGATACCAGGCGTGAGTCTCTTCTGACCCAGACGACAGCCAGTCTTCCCTTCTCTAAATCAGATAGGTCTTCATAGTAAACCCCATGGCAAGTGCCCTCTGCTAGAATCCCAGTGCAGAACTGTTTCTAGGAACCTCCAAAGCCAATATTTCTGATTCTAATTCCATGAAAATAAATAATAAGCGTTCTGTTTAAAATGTCCACTCCTCAAATGCATGTGGAGAATTCTGTGTTAAGCCACACTGAACAGGTTTTCATACTTCTTTCTTCTTATCCCCAATGGCTAATGTGCATTGAAAGTCTCTAAGAGGAGCATACGACAGTCAACGCTATCACTCCTCAATTTTCTGTCACCTAAGACTTATTTTTTTTTTTTTGCCAAACATTATGACTGTTCTTTGGGACACTAGAAGATTCTATCCTGAAGCTAATTTTCACCCACATAGATTTGACCTGGACAGAAGTTTCTTAGGGTAATTGTAACTGTAGCCACTACACAATGATATCAGGGGAAAAAAAATGTTATTTACTGCCCAGCCCAGACATGTATAAGCAATATTCTTTCCTTTGGCTCTGACCTCTTTGTATTAATAAATGATCTAAAGTTCTTTCAGTGGGGTTTTAGAAAGTTGTCATATTTTTGGATAACAGATCAAAGTGTAACTCTTTATACTCAGAATTATCTTTATTCTGCTCTTATCTTTAATCGCATTTAAAAATTGTTCTGCTCCTTGTTCTTTAAGTCTTAAGCAGTTTTTGTCTTGGCACATAATAAGCATTCAATAATGTTAGCTATCATCATCATATCATCATCGTCATTATTATTATTACTGGTTTTTATCAGTGAGGTTCTGAACTTTCCAACATGCCTGGGTCCGGGTGAGTCTAAGCGAGTTGCTGTGGCAGCACCCCGAACAGTGCCCATAAGCAGGAACTCTGAGCTCTAACCGTACCTTATTTATAGTTAGAGGCCTGTCATTCTTTTAGTCATCTGTACAGACTTTCACTCACTAAGTAAGTGTTCATTTGGCACCTACTGTGTTCCAGCTACTGTTGTAAGCTCTAGGGATGATACAAAGATGACTATGTTATGGTCCCATTCCAGAGGAAGTCATATTCTAGGGAGGAGGGAATCAACACATGTAAAAATAGATAATTGCAACTTAATGTAAACAGAAGAAAAAGAAGCTTTTCTTTTCTAACTCTGCTGCTCACAAAAGGTCTCCAAAAGGAAATGATATTTGAACTGGCTCTGGAAGGATTCATAAGAACTGACCAGATACAGTAGAAAAAGTGTTTTCCTTACATACTAATTAGCATGCACAGGGGTGAAGTGGCCGGAAAGCACGGCACATTAGGGAAGCTCAGAAGCACCCGGAACATGGAGAGTGGATGGGAAGGAAAGTGAGAGGAGATGAGGCTGGAAAGCAGATTGGGGCCAAACTGTGAATGAATAGGTTCCATCCTATACTCACACTTATTAATTGGTAGTAGCTGTCTGCAAATCTGTGTTAAGAAGGGTTCTGATCAGGTTCCCAGAGGTTGGGGATGAAGGGAGAGATGAACGGGTGAAATACAAAGAATTCCTAGGGCAGTGAAAATACTCTGTATGATATTATAAAGACGGATACGTGTCATTATACATTTGTCTAAACTCATAGAATGTACAACACCAAGAGTGAACGATAATGTAAACTACAGACTTTGGGTAATAGTGATGTGTCAGTGCACGTTCACAGTTTTAACAAATGTACCACCCTGGCAGGGCATGTTATTAAGCAGGGAGGCTATTATGCATGTGTGGGTGCAGAGGGTATATGAGAAATCTCTGTACCTTCCCCTCAATTCTGCTGTGAACTTAAAACTGCTCTAAAAAAATAAAATCTTAATTAAAAAAAAAAAAAAAAAGAAAGAAAGAAGGGTTCTGAAGTTATGCTTGAATAGTGGTGTCTGCCCTGGGCTCCAGAAGGATGAGCAGTAGTGTGTGTGCAGTGGGTGATCCCGTGCACAATGGGAGCCACCAAAATACCATAATTAGGTAATGAGCTGATAGATCTGTATTTGGGGAAAGTAGCTCTGCCAGCTTGATGGCAGACTAAAAGGAAGATGGTTAGATGGTGAGATAAATTAAGATATGATTAGAGTAGTGAAGGATGGCAAGGGTCTGGGATAAGAGAGTGGCACTGGAGACAGGAGAAAATAAGAAACAGCCCAAGACCTTAGCTTAAAACTGGGAGAAAGATGTTTAGCCGAGACCACAGAGGTAAGACTTTCAAATGCTTCAGAGAGGTCATTAGAATGAGGAGACTAAAAAGAGGATTTGGGATATGGCCACTAAGAGGTTATTAATTAATTTAGAGAGAACAATGTCAATAGCCAGATAGGAAGAGAGGGAAAATTACAATAAGAGAGTTGATCAGGAAGTGAGAACTGAGTGAGCATGGTGGTAAAGAGAGAGGGGAGTAGTTGTAAGATGGGAAGGCTTTTTGCAACCTTGAAATTCTTTACATGACGGTATTTCAGAGCTAATGAGAATTCAGAGACCATCCAGAATAGCCTTCTCTTATTATCATTGCAGAAACTGAGGCCCAGAGAAACTGGGTAACTTGCCCGAGATAGCACAGCATGGAGTCGAGATTTTATTTATTTAGTGTCTACTAAGTGTCAGGACATGAGTTCAGTACTGGGTCCGTCAGGAAACAAGGAGGAAGACGGGGACATTCTTCTCCATATGGAGCTTACTGTCCAGTGGATGCTACAAATGTAAACATGCAATGAGAACATGGTGTGGAAAGTGCTCCTGTAAGGGAAGCATGGGGTGACTGCTGAGTTTGGGGTTGCTGGGTTGGAGGCCCAGGGGACAGTGTGGGCGAAAGCCAGGAGGTGAGAGGAAGCACACTGTGTTAGAGGAACTAGAGGAAACGCAATAAAATAGAAAATGGAAACCGGAGTGAGAGGAGTAACGACGAGAGATAAGACACGAGGGTCAGAGAGCTGGGCAAAAGGCAGATGACAGAGCCTGGTGGGCCTCCGTGGGGAGTCTGGACCCCATCCTGAGAGGCAGGGCAGGGCTCGCGGAGGGTTGAACTGTGAGACTTACTCGTGGAATTAAACCCCGCCTAGGCAGTTGATCCTCATCTGCAAAAGGAAGGTTATATTGACAGCCTCCCATGCTGTGATGCTTGAGTACGATTTTACCTTTTGCATCTTGGGGGTATCTATATAAAGTATACCTCTATTTGTTTATATATCTCTGTGTCCAAGGAACATGTCATATTGTGTGGTTCACAGTGGCTTCTGAATAGGGGCAGCTTCTGCCTCTTACCTCCCTGCTTCTCAAGGGTTGACCCTGAATGCTCAACCCTTCTGAGAAACACTTGGCTTATAAAGGATTCATCTTTACAAGATGGTGGTTAAAAAAATCCCTACCACCATGACGGATTCAAAAGACTGCGTTTGCCGGGGACTGTTTCTCCAGGATTTGAACAGAGCATGGGTTAAGTCCCGTCCCCAAAGCCTGACAACTACCTAGGGTTTATAATGCATTAGGCTCCCTCCGCAATGCCAGCATTTCAAGGCTCTCACAGTATATGACCATTACAGCTTCATGTCTGGGTGAGGATACAGTAGTCCCAAGTAGGGGCAATGGAAAGTGTGTGTGGCCCTTG